GCGAAAACAACCAAATTGAGTCCCGTGCGTTCCCATCAATAATTGTGATCCTTGCAGTTGCATGTGCCGTAAAATTCTTACCCAACTGAACTGAATACCACTCAGGACGTTACACCGTTGACATTTTCTGTCTCTGACAGGGCACATTTCCCGGTCGGACTTCACATTTGCATATTAAGTGGCTGGCTGTCTTGTCGTATGCGCACTTTTGTTGATTCATTTTCTCCAACCATCTAGCTATGTGAAGTACAGCTTGTGCAAGCGCTGTGTAGTACTGTAGGGGGGGAGGAGGGGGGGGGGGGAGGAGGTGGTGGCAAGAGGTGGTTAAGTCGTCAGGTTGAGGGGGGGGGGGGGGGTCTGTGAAGGTAAAAATGTGTGTGTGGTAGGGGGGGGTGCATGTGCATGTATTTGGACGTTTGCTGTGTGGATGGGAAAGAGTACATACATATGTATGTATGTATGTATGTATGTATGTATGTATGTATGTATGTATGTATGTATGTATGTATGTATGTATGTATGTATGTATGTATGTATGTATGTATGTATGTATGTATGTATGTATGTGTGTGTGTGTGTGTGCGTGCGTGCGTGCGTGCGCGCAAACGCCTGTAATTGTGTGTGTAGCAGACTGGGGTCCCCTCTATGCGCTTGTGTATGTGCAAGTGTGTAAATACGCGTGTGTATGTACGCCTGTATATATGCGAGTGTGTATGAATACGTGTGTATGTGCAAGTGTGTGTAAATACACGAGAGCATGTGCGCGTGTGTATGTGAGAGTATGTGTTTTTTTTAATACGTGTGTATGTCGGCGTGTGTGTGTGTTGAGTTTGTGTAAATACGCGCGCGTGTGTGTGTGTGTGTGTGCGCGCGTGTGAATGTACGTGTGTTTGTGAAAGCGGTGTATATGTGGATGCAGTGTGTATGCGCGTATGTATTCGCGTATATGTGTATGCGCAAGAGTGTGAATGTGCCTGTGTGTATATGTGTGTATGTGTGTGTGTATGTTTGTGCGTGTGTGCGTGTAAGTTTGTTTACCTATGTGAGCGCCATGAGCCGCCGCGGTGTGGCAGTGTCATAAGAGTGTAGGTCAAAATGACCTTCTCTACCACCACTAGTGACCAACCGCTGGTCGTGGATTCGAATCCCGTCAGGAGCCCGTCGTTATGTCCTTGGTAAAGTCACTTGACACGTATGTTCTTCACTTCAACCTGGTGAAAATGGGTACCCGGCTATAGACAGCGAAAGATCTTGTCTGTTGGTTCATGTTTGAGCACGCGAAATCCGCAGCTTGCACAATATGCTTCCCGGGAAGCCGAAAAAGTTTCTGACTATCCTAGAGTCTGCTGGTGTG